CCTCCTGCACCAGCGTCGGTAGATGCCGTGCTGTACATGTAGTAGTCGGCATCTGATTGTGTGGCTGACTGTGGCAGCCGGGTTTCTTGCAAACCTACGAAGAGCGGAGCGAAAGGGGCGAGGGACGCCTTGAGCACATCTTTGCGCCCTAACATGCATAAACCAACTCCAGTTGAGCCTGCAACTTCCTTGTCTCGTAGGGTCAACACATTAAGGCTGATACTCGAGAATGAGAAGTCTGCCGTGGCAGCTGGTGCGCCCCTGTGTTGAAGGCCGTGTGAGGGAGCCGCGACTCTAGCATGGGCATGGGTTTGTGCAAGAGAAACCTCTGTGTCAAAACAGTAGAGGTGTGGTACATCAATCTGGCCAGGGACTGTGGCCCAGGCCCAGGAAGACAGAGGATGTTTGGCCCAAGAGGCAGGCCATGTCGGCAGACATCGGTCGTATACACTTTCGCCTTGAGAGCGGGCGAGTTTTGCCAATGCGTCGCACAATTCATTGCCAGCAACACCGGCATGGCCCTTGACATGCTGGTGGGCCGTGGGCAATCTCGCATTGAGATATTGACGCAGAGCTGCAGCAAAGGCGGCAAGAGGAGTGTAATGCTCGGGAGCTGCTCCTTGAACGGGCCGTGCTGTGCCAAATGTGCCCATCGTAGAGGAAGCGCACAGGTACTGAATATGCCGGGGCGTGCTGCGCTGCCCAGCACATGGCCCAGCAAAGCGCTAATAGTTCGGCAGTCAAGGCATCCTCGAGCATTTCGCCAAGGTAGTACGGCGTTCCTGGCGGGACGGACTGGGCCGAAGCATGACCGACAAGGTAGTGTCTAGCCCCTGATATGGCGAAAACCGCAAAGCTCCAGGCACATGGGCTAATGGCTGAGGCCCCTGACGACGCGGATCCGTCTGTGTATACGTCAAGCTGCTCTGGCACCGGTGATCCTTCGTGGCACCAGATAGGCATATTGACCAGGGCAGTCCTAACTTCCAGAGGAACACCTTGGAAATTCAAGACGGCACCGAGGTCTGCATCCAGCCAGTCAACTTCCTCGACGGGCAAGGCGTGTGGAAGACACGACTGAAGTTGCAGGACTGCTTGTTGGTGGGCGCTGACAGGAACAGCTTCCGCAAGGCAGACGACTTGAGGGGGGGCAACATGTGCACGAAACAAATGGTCCTCTAGGACCTCAATGAGAATGCAGGCCTCTTGAAGTGCTCTATACTGGTTCCGGACTAGGCTTTCCTCAAGTAGGGTGGGCCCGTCGAAATCGCAGGTCTCTTCCGAAAGGGCAGCATCCCTGTCTAATCTAGCAACAGAGACAGCATCATCGCTGTCAGCACTGTGCGCATGAGGTACGAGGGCTGGGATCCTGACGTGTGCCCGACACGGGGTGGCAAGCAGTCTACGGGGCTGTGCGCCTGGTTGACATTTGGCAGGTTGGCTGCTCTCAGCCCGATCGGCCGATGAGCCTGCAGTCTCCATGGCTGTAGCGCACTGGAAATTGGAGAACCCGGCCAAAGCAATGCAAGCAATCAGGACGGCCTTAGTGGGCTTCCTGCTTAAGGCCCCAGATCCTACTAGGGCCAGAAGTAGACAGCAACAAAGATGGGGGGCGAAAGTGTGCAGCCGAAGGGGAACGCCTCGGTGTAAGTGATGGAACCAGTCCGGCAGCGGTGTCACTGACCAACTGACACAAGGGCGTGGTATGTACCAGGTGTACACTGTATAAGTGTCCCCATCCCGGATAGAACCTTGGCATGGAGGGACAGAGGTGAAAACCTGATGGCTCTGAAGTAGAGCTTCTTGATGGATATCAGGCTGCCACATAACCATTCGTCCATGTCGCGGTTGCTGTGGGAGGTTGTACTTTACATGAGAGAGGGGCCCAAACAGGAGGATCAGAGTAGCCCAACCTGTTCCTGGGTATCTGACAGAGTGGCCTTCTCTCCAATCATTCCACCTGTGGGGGTTATCGCTGCTCGACGGGGGTTGTGCCCAACTGCCAGTAGTGCTGGCTGGACCTTCACCTGAGCCAACCGCTCGATCATGTGGAAGGTCACCCGCAGGCGGCTCTTCGGTCGCGGCGGTAGTGCTGGCAACAGGGTTCCTTTGTAAGGCTGGGAGTGCCTCAGGTAGAAACTCCACAGTAATAATTTCGCCGGGCTGGACTGTCCTAATTTGCTCTACCAATCTTCGAATGGGAGCGCCGCCAAAGGCGACTGGTTGGAAGCCCTGCGGGCAAAAGGCTTGTAGTCTATGCAGCAGGGCAGCAACATCGTATCCTGCAGTAGGCGCAAGTGCTGCTTGAAAGTCCAGATGGATAGGCCTTAGATCAAGCAATATGGGCGTGGGCGATACTTGTTCCCCAAAATCAGGGACAGAAAGCTCTACCGCTAGCAACACATTGCGCACTAAGAGCCCTTTGTTTGTGGCGTCCCGGATGGGCGGGACTGCGGGCCTAATGACCAGGTCCCTTAAAGGGATTCCTAACGCAGCGGCGACGTCTGTGCGAAACGCCGCAGTACGGAGGCGGTTAACCTCATACAGGACAGGCTCAGCATCGGTAATGAGGAGCACCCGGTCACCGTAGTCTCCCGCAAAGGCATCATCGGAAGTCCATCCTTCGCTCGAGGTAAGCATGACGCTCAGTTCGTGCCGAACCGGCGCAGCAGAAGCATCAGGGACGATGGAGAGAAGGTCACCCGTGGAAATAGCAATGACATCATGTGGCCCAAGTGGCCAGGGCACGTCTGTGATGTACACTTGAACTGGTGCATCTGCAGGAAGGTCCGCAATGGCAAGGACGGAAGCAAAGTCTACTCGCGCAGGTGCGAGGACCGCAAACAGCCGCCCATCAACGCCTCTAGAATCGACAAAAACTGTGGTTTGAGTGGCTGGCCACGCCGGCTCGCCAACAAAGACAGCAAATCGCCGGTCCGGTTGTGGAAAGACCGCAGTGAGGTGGGGAAAGCGGCGAAGGTCACATTGTATGCGCTGTCGGGCGACCTGTTGCATAAAGGCCTCAGCAGGGGCTGGGGGGGTCAGGTTCAGGTCGTGCAGTTCGGGCAGGTAGCCAGGGACTGCTATAAGTACCTGTACATGCAGCCCCGCAGGGGCAACTGAGGTGTCTGGCGCTGTCAGAGGGACAAGGTTGAGCCTGCGTGGCATCTCTTGCTGTAACTGGGTGACAGCTGCCTGCACCGTCGGAGCTGTGATGACGATGCTGTCGCCAACAGCGGCTTCATGCATTGAGGCGGCACGTTCTAGATCGAGGCGGATGGGCCTGCGAACATAGTCAGCAACCAGTGTCTGCCCACTCGTGATTAAGTAATGGGGGCCTTCGACCTGGGCCCCAGTGATTTGCACATCGTAGCCAAGAGGGGCTGAGAAGCGTAAATCATCAATTACGTCTTCGATGAGAAGTAAGCCATTATATGCTGGCCAACTAGCCCAGCCCTCAAGGAGGGGGCGCTGGTCGAGGATGGCAAGAGCTGGCCTACGAATCCACTCCTCGGTGTGTGCAAACGCAGCAAGAGCGGTTCTGCAAGGGATGCCGTCAATCTCTGCATCTATGACTCTAGGTGCAGCAGGGGCGGTATGAAGGTGTTGGTCAAAGATGCCCGTAGCGTGGGCGATATTCTGTCTATATGTCCAGGGCTCACGCGGATTTGTGTGGAAGAGCTGGTGTCTTTGCCCTTGAACCAAACAATAGGCACCGTGAACCTGTGGGGGAGCCCACTGATGCTCGGGGCTCCATGAACGACTCCGAAGAAGGAGTAGGGCTAAGTCCCAGGCTGGTGGCGGCGGGTCTGGCGCAGGCACGAACAAGATTGCAAAACCTGGGACAATATGAGCGAGGGATTCGCCTTCCAGGGGCTCTGAGCTGACTCCAACGTAAACCGCAATATTATCAGCATCGGGAAGGTCGGCCAGGTTGCATAACGTTGCTTTATCAGCATATGTAGGTGCATGTGCTGCGTAGGCTCTGCCGTCAACTGCTGTAATGTCTAAGTGCACGATGGTGGTGTCTGGCTGCCAATGTGGCATGGCGACAAAGAAACCAGTACCCCGCCCAGGCTGTGGAAGCACTGCTTGGAGGCCAGGAAAGCGAGAACGTCGTTCGATGGCCCTGGCAGCTTGGGCATGCGCTGTGAAATCAGCCGGGGTACAGGGAAAGCGCACCGCGACTGTCAGCATCTCTGGTGCGTACTCGGGTGCAAATATCACAACAGAGACCCATTTGGTGACTGACTCCTCTTCAGCGTCTGTGTCGCTGTCATCTCCTGCGGGGGACGGTAGCAGAAACCGTGAGCCTGGTTGTGAATACGGCCAGGGACCGCCTAGCTCGCTGGTGAGTTGTCGGAGATCCTCCAAGGCCTGGCGTGCTTCAGGTGTGGGACAGGCAGGCTCGGTCAGGAGGCGCATCACGTGCTTCAGAAGAGCGGCACAACGTGTAAATGCTGGACGGACGCCTGTATTGACAGACACAGCTCCAATGGGACCCGCTATGCAATGAAAGTCGAGCGGGACGTACCCTCTAGGGGACTGGGTACCTCTGTAGGAGCCTGTGTTTATCGCATCCCATAGGGCTGCACGGATAGAGGGTAGTGCAAGGCCCCTGATCGCTGGCGAAAGGCCACAGAGTGCAATAGCTAGTTGCACGGTGCCGACCTGGATTTGCATGTGGCGAGGGTTGCGTAGAGTTAATGTCATGCTTGCAGCATCTAACTGTCAGTCTTTGAGGCGCAATCTAGTAGAAACCCTTATCACCGAAGGCAAAACTCAAACCACCTAGCCCTCCTGAGTATGAGTGGTCTGAGGAAGGTGATGCATTGCCTCCTCTGGCTGGAGCCCTGCGTTGGCTGCGCGATCGGGTAGTGGCGTCCGAGTCTGCGGCATCACTTGAGTCATCCACGTCAGAAGAGGAGTCCGGGGGAGGTCCACCGTCATCCTGGTCTGGGTCTTGGGAGGAGGAACCAGGATCCGATTCGGGCAGTACATGAATCCGAAGACAAGTGTGTCGCCATGCTGTACATCAATCCGGTTCCGGCGCTTTCGACCTCCTGTAACTTTCAGAGCCCATGATGGAGGCGGCTTTCTTGCGACAAACAGAGGAAGATCCGAGTGCAAGATGTACGGCCTGGTCAGAGCGACAAATTTGATTCCTTCCGCGACTTGCCGTAGGTCAAGGAAGATAACATACTGTGGGTCATCGGAATGCTCGGTGATTGCAATAACCCCACGGACGGGGGAGCTTTTATGCGGAAAGTGGGATAGGACATCTCCGCTGGGGGTATGAAACCTAGCGTCGGCATAATTGACTCCCACAAAGTCCGCTGCAGCAACATCAGGGGGTGTAATCCTCGGACAAGAGCCAAGCAAGTATCGCCCTGTGGCATGTAAAAGAAGAAGCGAGTGTCTGGCCTGGGATTCTTTGGGAAACCGTGCCTGTTGTGACCATATTGGGGCAAATTGCAACCTGAACTGCAGGTCATTGGCCTGGAAAGGGCATCTGTCAGAGGCCGAGGCAATGAAGGTCACGAGACAACCACTAGCCAAGATTATTGATTCATCGTCAGCTAGCGGAACCTGATCTGTGCCGGCATAAACTTTTGCAGGCATCGCTCCATACACGCCGGCTTCGCGGCAGAGCTCCGCTAAGCTTGTTGGGCGCGTGACATATGTTGCCACGAAAGGGCCTACTCCGCCTGGCACCATATCCCGCAAGTCAAGGACAATAGCGGAGAGCGCTGAATAAGACACCCAGTCGGGAGCCCGAACAAAGGACGCGCAATTTGGCAGCGGTTGGGGCCTAACGGGAATTATTCTATCACAGCAAGTCAAAGCTGGTAGAAGTGGACTTCGCTCCACGACATCAATGGCATCCTCAATGTCGCACGGAACTCCAATCCTGAGCTGCAACACAGCGTCTTGGTATCCCGGAGTGGTAACGAAGACAGGGAAGTCAACATCAGTGACATCTGCTGGGTCCGTATGCCGAACAACGTTGCTAAGTTCAACTCTAACAGACTGAGGCGGCGGTGGGCCGCGCGGCGGCTGCAATATGGGGTCCAGTATGTCGGGCACTGCAGGCACCGGTATGCCATAAGACACAGTCATAGCATCTGGGGCAGTAGGGTAGCTGCGGGCGGGCCGTTCAGGCATGTCTTCCGGCCTCTCTGCTGCAACTGCGGCACCTACTTGTATCAGGCCGGGGAGGCCTTTAGGAGCAGCCCAGACACACATCGGAATACTCCAAAAACAGATTGACAACAGATAACGCGTGGACATAGAAGACCTTTGGCGGCCAGGCCTGGGTAGTCGACGCATTCGGCCTTTCCTATCTGTGTGCGGCCGCCAACAAAGGATAGGCTGTGAAGAACCGATGTACCCAATGCTGAGCACAAGCTTGGTCGGCATTTGGAGAGCCGGGTAGCCGCACCACCGGGCAAGGGGGGAGGGTATGAGGCGTCCTCCTAGAAGGAGGAGCTTGATCAATGCCAAAAATGCACAGAGCTGCAAACTACGCAGGAAGGGAAAAAGGATACCCTTGATCCAATCGATGCTATTATTGAATATTTGCTCCTTTGCACTGGGCTCATACACTTTAGCTGGAGGGAGTCCCAGAGCCACCGATACTCCTCTTAGGCTCCAGCCGCGAAATGAGGTGCAGTAAGAGCGCCACCAATCATTGGCGAAGTGCTCAAGCCACATACGGCGAGCATGCAGGCGGGGACCAAACGAGTGGCAAGGCAAAAGGCCACCATCGGTCGAGGAAGACAGAAGGGGCAATGCAAACAGGAACATTGAGACCCTGGCTGGAGGGAGTCCCAGAGCCACCGATACTCCTCTTAGGCTCCAGCCATGCAAAGAGAGATGGCATACATGCCACTCCGGCCTGAAAAAGGGCTCAAGCCATAAACGGCGAGCATGCAGGCGAGGACCAAGTGGGTGGCAAATCAAAGGGCCACTACTGGTCGAGGAAGACGAAAAGGGCAATGGCACCAAAGGCATTGCAACAGAAAGGCACGCTGCTTGTGTTGGAGGGAGTCCCTGAGCCACCGATACTCCTCTTAGGCTCCAACAAGACGCAGGAAAAACCTGAGCATACAGACTGAAATGCAAAAGTGCTCCTGGCCGTAGCTTTAAGCGAGCAGAGGGCCTAACATGTTGTGGGCACCAACAAAATTCGCTGTAGCTACCTGGGAAGCGGGGCACTGGAGGTGCGCCATAGGACAGATCTGGAGCCTGCAAAAGTATATACAGGAATCTACCGTTACCACACTGAGGGTGAGACCGCAGAAGCCACCGATATACATGCTCAAAGTCACCAATTCGACTGTACCAGCCAACAGGGAGCTTGGGCACACATTGACAAAAGTCAATATATGCCACGGGCCCTACTAGCGGACAGAGGAAATGGGTATCATGAACGTGTTCCCGGGGCTTCTGCCTAAAGGTCACTCCAAATTGGTAAGTCCTGGCGAGGGCGCATCTGGCATGTCGTCGTCGAGCAGCACCGGACGTTCGCCTCGGGCTTCTGTGGCTTCTTCTGCAGCATGACCCGTCTGAGCGGCCCCGGGGAGTCGGAAAGGGCGGAGAGCTGGGTTGCCAAACTCTGCTTCCCTCTTTGCATGCAGTTTGTCTGCTAACGTACGGCTGCCCGTGTCCACTGGGGCAGCGGTCTTGCTTGCAGTCTTGATGTCGGTCCGCGGCGGCAACTGCGAGGGCGAAGCATTCGAATGATGTTGCTCTTTTTTCCCAGGAGGTGTAGGCTTCACGCTGGGTGGCGTGGTTTCCACAGACAACTGGCGAAGTGCAGAAGCCACAGCCGGCGTAGAAGGAGACGGCGTAGGTGTCGGATAGTCGTCCTGTATCACCTGGGCTGTCAATCCAGGAGGAGAGCCAAGGTCCGCCTGCGAGATAGCAGGCTGCCGAAGTAGGTCGGAAGGCATGGGCGTTCTTGGCTGTCCGTTGGTGGGGCGGTCCGGAGTCTTTGGTGCCAGGGCAGTTCCACTGTGGGAGGCGGCTGCACCGAGGCCAACCATACCAGTGTTGACATGTGCGGCATGGGCTGCAGCCAGGGCAGTCTGGAAAAAGCCTGGCCCTTCTTCGGTGTGAGCCTGCATCAGGGCGTCCCATTCGCCGTCTTCTGCTGGCTCTTCGTGAGGAACTTGGAGAGCGGACTCTCCAAGCATGATGAGCTCTTGTACCCTCTTGGCCGCTTGGCTTCCAAGCTCTGTAGTGGCTGCCATGTCCTGCTCTATGCGCAAGAGGTCGCCCTCGTACAACTTTCGCTGTTGGGCGAAGTCGCGCCTCTGCTTGTCGATAAAGGCTTGCCACGCCTTTTCTTTGATGTCGCGCTCCAGATGTAGCTTTCTCATCTTTGCGTCGGCTTTGCGTGTCGAGGTCAGGGCCTTTTGCACTGCCACCATCATCAGATTGCCCTGTGGCGCGTTCGGCTGTTGCGGTGGCGCCTTTGCCTTCCAGGGTGCCTGTTGCTTGGGGCCGGTCGCAACTGTATCGTATCGCTGTATCGTATCGCTGAGTCGTGTTCTGTCTTGCTCTGGCAGCCTTCGGGGAAACCTGCCAGCTTCCACTCCAGTAACCCCATGTCCGCTGCTGCTGCTGTCCAGAGGGCGGCCCATAGTACTCGTTGCCACCCCATGTTTGTTGCCGCCCTTGTCGTCCCATCAACTCGTAGTAGAGCGGGCGGCTGTGGTGCAGGGCCAGAAGCTTTAGGTCTGCGGGCGCCGGGGCAGTATGTGAGGAGCGGGCGGTATGGATCCTTCGCCTCGCTCGCGAGCGCTTCTGTCTTGCGCGGCGATGCCACGCAGGGCTTCGGAGCGCAATTGCCGTGGCTTTTTGCCACTGGGGCTGGGCAATACCTGACCTACGGGCAGGCTCGATCCCAACGCCTCTATACCCTACTAAAGATTAGACCCTAAACCCCGAAACCCTAAAACCTAAACCCCTAAACCCCGAGACCCTAAACCCCGAAACCCTAAACCCTAAACCCCGAAACCCTAAACCCTAAACCCCGAAATTCTACACCCTAAACCCTCCAAAACCCTAGGCCCGGAAGATGCCAAATCGGGTGAGGGAGGTGAGAGGCCAGCAGGCTCCCTCAGCACCATGCTAGTTGAAGGGAGCTCAAGAATGAGAACAGGATTTAGATTTAGGGTTTAGGATTTAAGATTCATAATACAGCTCTCTCTCTCTCTCTATATATATATATATATATAGGACTGATCACATTTAGAACGGGATTTGGAGGTAGACTGTACTACGAGAGTTTCTGGGGCAACAAAGGGATACGTATATGAGGGACTATCAGGGGATACGTTATCTAATAACGACGATCCCACCCGAAGGCTTAAACCCTCAACGCCCCCTCCTCGGAAGCGAGTCGCACGTTGAACAGATATTCCGGCGTAGGGACCACGGCGACGGAGGGCGCTGGTCACGCGAATATTGGATCCTGAAACCATGACACTATAGGGTTTAATCTAAAAGTATGTTCCAATTTTAGCTTGTGATCGCATGGGGACTACAACAGAATCTTGTTGCTAATTAAGTCTTCCGACCTCTAAATAGCTCTTTCTCCTTGTGTTGCAGACGGCCCAAACAACTTTGTTATACAAGGAATGTGAAAAAAGACAGGCATGCTCAAGCACTGCAGAGCACTTGAAGTGCCGTGTCCGTGTAAAGCTCAGTGTAGCAAAGGCACTTGTGAGGTCTGTGCATCGAAGAGGTTGCAGCTCCAGCGACGTGCAAATAGGACCAGCGCCCTACGCTTCTTCATGGCTTCCCGGACTTCTCCTGTAGCTTTCGCACCACACCGTCCGCAGCGTCCCGGATCAAGTACTCGTACCTGGCACACAGCAAGAAACAACAAATCCCCACGCAATGCCTACGACTCCTAACTCTCAGAGTCCATGTACCCGTATGTTATATGCCTCGGCCCGAACGCACGGATGTAAGGAACCACTTTAAGACCTAAGCATACACAAAATCATATCGGTATATGGGCCCTCACAGGAATTCCTAAACCAAGAGGCCAGGTTCATGAGTCCTAACTTAAGGTGTCAGGCTGTAATTGTGGATTTAAGGGTTCAGGGCATGAGCTTTACCTTTTGTTGTCAGTCTGCTTTTTAGGGTTCAGGGCTTAGGTTTAGCGCTATGGTCCTGCTAAGTCTTTTCAGCACCCCTGCCTGGCTGTATGTGGAGGGTAGGGGTCACGCACATCCAAGTTCGGCTCGTAAAAGAATGGCCTGGGTTGTGGGTTAAGGAAACTCAAGTTAACATATGTCTGCTTGTGCATACATATACGTGTATATGGCTATGAGAGAAAAGCTGAATTATCATGTCTGTAGACCTCGGTTATCTTGCGAAATCAGTTTCTGAACAACCACCCAGAGGCATAGAGTAGCGATCAGTGGTGCCAGTAATTGGCACGACCCTATGCAGGGTGGCCTGACAAGCGGTCATTTAAGCTTTTAAGAAACTTTTAGGTTTCCTAAACCCTAAACCCTCTAGGTTTAGGGATTGGTCAAGAAGCTTCAGGGTTTGAGGTTTTACTTCGGGATTAGCTTTCAAACTGCCGGACCTGCCGTTAGGGTCGTGGACTCGGCTTCTTTATGGAATGCTACAAACCCCTAAACCCCAAACCCTTAACCCGAAACCCTAAACCCTGGTAGAGTTCAGGGGTTTTCAAGGCTTTGTAAGTCATCGTCCCAAGAAGAGCCTCTCTGAGAGCCCAAGCAGCTCGGGATACACGGTTTAGGGTTTAGGGTTTCCCCCTCCCCCCCGCGTTGCCAAGTCCGGACCTCCAATTGACGGGTTATCCTGGGGCTAGGTGGGGTTTTGGGGTTTCGGGACTGTTTATGCGGTTAAGGCGTCCGGGGTTGCCTCTACTTCCTTAGGGTTGAACTCAACCAACCCTAAGCCCAACACCTAATTATCCCAAACCCCGAACCTTCACAGTGGAACCAGTTCGCTAGCGAATCCCAAATGCTCCTCTGTAGTATAAACTGGTACAGACCCCTCTGTGAGGCCGTAGTTGAGAACATGGACGTTTTTGTGGGAAACCGTACCCAGACCTTCCAAAATCCCTTGATTAAGGAATTTACCGTACTTCTCGGTAGCATCAAAACCAGATAATCATAAATCACATGCTCACCAAAACGCTAACTAAGAAGTACCCTACATTTAACCCTAACCCCAAGATACCCCAAGCCTATAACTATGTAGTTCTTGGCCGGACGGCTCCGCAATTGCCCAAACGCCTCACAAAGCCTGAAAGCCTGAACCCTTAAACTACCTTGAAACTAAAGGCCAGGCTATCTCGTTTTTGTGTTGGGAGGCTATGCTAAGGTTTCAGGTTTAGGCTCTACCCTTGGGAGGTTATAGGGCTCGTTGGTGGGGAAGAACGCGAACCAGACCTTGCAGGGGCGACAGAGAGCCGACTGGCTCGAGGACTGCGCGGCCCAGCGGAAGAGGTCTGTACCGAGGTTGACGATCCAGTGCCCTTTCAGGGCTTTCGAGTTCAATCGTTTCAGACGCGAGGTGTTTAACCCTAAGGTCCTAGGTTTGAGGGCCTAGGGTAGTCTAGGGTGTAAGGGCTTAGGGTAGCTTTAGGGTGTAAGGGTTTGGGGTAGGGTTTAAGGGCTTAGGATTTCGGGGGTTTCGAGGACTTGAGGACTTCGCGGGCCTTCTGTCCTTGAGAGTTTAGGCTTCACGGCTTAGAGCCTAAACCCTACGGCTCGCTCCGTGTAGCTGCTTAGTATATAGTCCGACTGAAGCCTTGACGTACCTCTATTCCCAGAGGCTCCATATATGCTACCACTATGGCATTAGGCCACAAGAACCATCCTTATCATGGTTTTGGGGACCTAGATTCCATGATCGTGGTCGATATGGAGCCTCATGGGCTAAACCCTAAACCCTAAACCTTATACGAAATGGGTGCATGGGAGCCTAAGGGTCAGGGGCACTGAATATCCTGCAGCAGAAACCTGAGGCTCGCTTCGGGCATGCAATCCATCCGGGGTTTGGGGTTTAGGGTTTA